TCATTTCCATTTAAATTTTTCTAGAGAAAGTAAAAGGAAGGGGTAGGAAGAGAGAGAGAGAGAGAGAGAGAAACACAGACGAGGGAGACACACACATTGATTGGTTGCTTCCCACACGTGCCCCTACCAGGCCTGGGGAACCTGCAACAAAGGTCCATGCCCTTGACCGGGAATCGAACCGGCGACCCTTTGGTCCTCGGGCCGACGCTCCAACCACTGAGCCATACCAGCCAGGACAAGCCACCTTGATTTTTTAGAACAGGTGACACCATAAAAAAAATCAGTATAATTCTGTCATAGGAGAAAGTGGTACCTGCAGGCTTGCAGTCTAGCAGAGCGGCCTTCCGCTGTTGGCTTAGGTTCTAGAGTCAGCTCACAAGGTAGAGAAATCGTGTAGAGCCCAAATCCTTCTCAAGAATTCCTTAAATGCCCCATAAAATAAAATATTGAAAGTGTTGCATGTACAACCTTGCAAAAAATATGACACGTTTGTAATGATGTAACTGATATGAAGAAAGTACACACCCCGAGGGGCAGTGTCCTGTGTGAAGAAGAGGGAGCCCCTCAGGTACCCGGCTCTCATTCGGTCGGCGGATGCTTGGCCGGCAGACCTGACCTCCGTCCTGGGCTCACGCCGGGCCCTGTGGTCACTGTGTGAAAAGACGTGGCATAATCCACCTTGTGATTGCGCACGCTCAGTGTTTTGCTGAGCACATCAAGTTGAATTTCTGCCAGTTAAATGCACCCAGGATGGGACTCGAGGAGGACTCTTTTTTAAGAAAGCGGGGGATAAAGAGCCCTGGGCTTGGCCCCACTGGTGTTGCTCAGTGGTTAGAGTGATGGCCTGCACACTGGAGGGTCGCAGGTTCGATTCTAGTCAACGGCAGGTACCTGGGTTGCAAGTCGGGAGGCAACCAATCGATGTGTCTCTCTCACGTCTATGTTTCTCTCTCTCCACCCCACCCTCTTTCTCTCTCCCCCTCCTCCCCATCATCCACTTTCTCTAAAAATCAATGAAAAAATATCCTCACTCCTCGGGTGAGGTTTATAAAAGAAAAAACAAAAAAACACTGGACTCGGCCCCGCGGGCGTGGCTCAGTTGGCTGAGTGTCATCCCATGCACCAGGAGGCCACTGGTTCCACTCCATTCCCGGTCAGGGCACATGCATGAGGCACCGGCTCAATCCCCAGTAGCGGGTGTGCAGGAGGCAGCCAATTGATGTTTCTCTCGCTCGCTCTCTCTTTTTTCTTTATAATGGTTAACATTTATAGAGTATTAACTGTGTATGAGGACTCTTTTTAAAAATAGATATTTTTATTGATTTCAGAGAGAAGAAAGAGGGAGAGAGATAGAACATCAACGATGAGAGAGAATCATTGATCGGCTGCCTCCTGCATGCCCCACACTGGGTATCGAGCCCACAACCCGGGCATGTGTCCCCGACTGGAATTGAACCCGGGACCCGTCTGTCTGCAGGCCGAGACTCTATCCACTGAGCCAAACAAGCTAGGGCGATGTTTCTCTCTTAATAAAGGAAGGAAGGGAGGGAGGAAAAGGGAAGGGATGGAAGGGAGGGAGGAAGGAAAAGAGACTTTTAAGCTATACTTGGTGTTTCTGAACTGGATGAAAACATCACGATCTATAACAAATGAGATTTTGGTGATTCCCCCACTCCTTTGGAAAGTTAAACATTGTTTTCAGAACTACGCTGCAACTGGGGAGAGACGGGAGGGCCAGCAAGCCCCAGTGGGCCAGAGGCAGCGGGGATCCCGGTGACTTGGTCCTTCCCAACCCAGGACCGGGCCAAAGCTGAGGCTTTGAACAAGCAGCTGCGGAAGCAGATGGCCGAGTTCCGAGTGCCGCCCGTGATGACGTACGTCAAGGAGAAGATCTTCAACGGGGACCTGGAGAAGACCATCCGCGTCTGGGAGAGGAAAGTGGAGATCGCGGAGGTAGGGCCCCCACCCCCTTGCCCCCGAGAGGCCCCGGGTGGGCAGCCTTTCATGCCCTTCCCATTTTTGTCTGCGAGTTTGTTTTTGAGCTAAAGATACACATGTTTGGACTCGTAACATCTGAGAGGAATCGATCGCCACAGTTGCTTTGAGCCTTATATTGAAACAAAGGATGACTTTCCTTTCTTAAAAATAATTTTTTTTGAATTATTGATTTCAGAGAGGAAGAGAGAGGGAGAGAGAGATGGAAACATCAACGATGAGAGAGAATCCTTGATCGGCTGCCTCCTGCACGCCCTCTACTGGGGATCAAGCCCGCAACCCAGGCATGTGCCCTGACTGGGAATCAAGCCATGGCCTTCTGGTTCATAGATGACACTCAGTGTGCAACCTGGCCTGGGCCAGTCTGTGCTTCCCGTAGGGGGCGTGCAGGAGGCAGCCGATTCTCTCTCATCATGGATGTTTCCCTCTCACGCTCCCTCTCCCTTCCTCTCTGAAATCAATAAAAACTCGATAGAAAAGAACGTTTCCTAAAAGACATACTGAGAGGACAGCCGCGCTCTCACACCTGGGCCCTGGCTCCCCTTCCCGCCGCAGGAAGTAAATTGGGAGCCAGCCTTGGGCCCGTCAGACCTGAAGCTGAGAAGTAGCAGAGCATCCCAGCAGGAACCTGCGACTTCTCGCTTCAGAAGTCTCGGCCAGAAACAAGCTCTTTCAGAGCAGCGGTTTCTGTCTCGGCCAGAAACAAGCTCTTTCAGAGCAGCGGTCGCCAACCCGTGATCCACGAATCACTGATGCTCCCTGAGGTCCAAAGGGCTGGCACCTCTCCCAGGCGCCCTGGGCAGCCACGCCCTGCCCCCCCCCACCGCCGGACCCCATCCAGGGCTGTGTTCTGACTAGTCACAGTCCGCACCTCCCAAGGGACCTCTCCCCTCTCCCCCTTTCCTTCCGCAGATGTCCTTAAAAGGCTACCGCAAGGAGTGGAATAAGATGAAGGCCACCAACGAGAAGTTGCTGCTCATCAGCCCCCCAGAGAAGTAGCCGGAGGGAGGCCATGGGCTGCGGACCAAAAAGCAATCCATTAAAATAGCCAGCTCCTTTCTAGCCACAGGGCCCCCCTCTGTTCCCCGGGCCGGCTGGTGTCCCCCGACTCTCCAGCCAGGCCAACAGCCACCTCCCGGGCCGTGGGCCTGTGGTGGGCGCGGTCCCAGCCTGGCCCCTGGAAACACTGACACTGAAAGAACCACAGGGCACTCGCGCGGTTTGACTCGTCAGCCCACCTTTAGTTCACCAGCACAGATGATGGTGCCGTGGGAGGACGTGGCAGTGACACAGAGGAGGGCAGGCCACGGGCCGGGGCAGCCGGGCGTGCAGCCATC